AATTTCCACAATTCATGTAATCAAAACAAGCTAATTAAACCCTTTTTTAATAAAGAAAAAAATGGCACACATAAAAATACATTTCTAAAAATAAAATTGATCTTTTTTTGTGGTGGGGCAAGTGGAAATAATTAATTTGAACAAAATTAAGTTGTTTCAAAGTAGCCTGTGGCTACTTTAGCCAAACAAACAAAAAATAGCCTTCAAACTATAAAAATGTATGTTTGTAACCTTCATCCAGTTCCTATAATAATGTAATCCTAAATAAACACTTCGACAGGCTGAAGCTCAATGCTTACAGTAAAACTACCGTCCTGGCACATATTAAAATAGCCTATACATTTCTAAAGACAAAACTAATCATTTTTGTGGTGATGCAAGTGAAAATACTGGCAGGGCAAATAAAATCCTTATTGTTGCCATGCAAATCAAAAGGAAAGGTGAATGTCCATTCCATACTGCAATGTGTCTCATCAGAAAAACAGAGATGTTCAGGCCGAACAGTATGAACATGACAGCAGCTGCTGCATTATATGAAGGAATGCTCTGGGTTTAACACAAACTAAGCTCTATCTACAGCATCTGTGCCAACAGAAAATCATTCGAAATGAGTGAAATGTTAAATAGTCGACAGCCAAATTGTAAAATGGGTCATACTGCTATTACCAACCTTAGGGGAGTCTTCTGTCTTGACTGTTATATGACAATTTCAGGCTATGTCACATACCAAAAATGTTAGTTTATGAAAGTCAAATTTGGTAGCCACCATATGCCCTAAATATATACGTCACAATAATGTCTGACCACCACCAGTCTAAACATCCTGTGACAACAAGCACATTTACACCCAAACAAAATCACATTTCTGCATAAGCTGGCAATGTGTGCACTGAGAATCCATATAATATGGCCTAGCATTGTAGCAAGAGTTCACCAAAATATAACCCATTATGAATGTTATAACAAACATTGCATCATACAACAAATCCTGACGAGCACAGGCTCTGGAAATAAGACTTTATGACCACAACAGCCCTCAGCAAAACATTCCAGAAGGCTCTCGTTCCCGAAGCAGCGACCTTATGCCAACCAGAGCACAAGGAAATCTGAATCCTTAACAAGGATACAATTTTCACTAGACCAGGCTGAACTGAGCTGCTGTTGCACAACAAAAAGACAAGGAGTGAAGGGATAAAGTCAAGTTTAAGAGATCAAGAAGAAGAGAAATGGGGACAAGAGCCACCGCAAAAGTCAGAGGATTACACTAAGATTTCCTTTATTATGCATACTGCAACTTAGATGATGGTACAAAGTAGCAAATTGTATATTCTTTAATAGCTTTATATGGGACAACTACTGTGGGGTCCAAAAGTCTGAGACCATATTTATTTAACATCTTGGATTTTTTATTTAAACCTGGAAACAATGAAAGATCATGCACTATTAATAGGACATTCATTAATATAAAAATTACAATTTGTGACACTGATCATGTAAACTCATTAGCACAAAATGTCAAATATCCCTGCTTCCATTTGGAATAAATCATTCTGTTTATCATGTAGGCTAAATCAGGGATTTAGGGATTTTCATATATTAAGTGTGATATTAAGACAACATGCCGTTTCCAAAATTAAACAACCGGCTTTAATGTTGTTATGGTACTGAAGTCAAAGAATATGATTAAAATATGATCTGGAGAATACTTCTTAATACCTTGTATTAAGATGACAGTGTGTATTTTTTCTACCCAGTATTAGAGATATGTATAGATTTTTAACATGTTTTTCTATATTTTGATTTTATTAAAAACAATTAAATACCTTTTAATGTTTATTATTAATCTCAAGATTTTTGACAATATGTTTAAAGAATTTAATATATTTCAAGAATTACTGCATTTAACATATGTAATTAATATCTTAGTTTAATAAGTTAACTCTGAAAGTCCAAGTATTTTCTTTTGAGTTTTTCATGGCAGACCACTAGCAGTTTTGTTTTTGTTTTGTTACATTAACATATGAATCTGAATGACTTCTGAATGACCCTCAAAATATGCTTTCATCAATGTTTATATGTGAATAAAAACCTAAACTAAAAACTTCATCATTTAACATGATGTTATCTCTTCAGAAGACTTGGATTAAACTGCTCAATCATATTTTATGACTGTTATAATGTCTTTGTGTACTTTCTGAAACTTGAAAATGATTACATAGATTTTCAATGGACAACAAATTAGGAAGGAATAGTCCAAAGATTAAAAAAAATGTTGTATAGATTTGGAACAAGTAAATAATGAGAGAATTGTCTTTTTTGGGTGAACTATCCCTTTAAATTAGAAAGATACAACATTTTCACTGGGGCCTTACTGCCTCTGTATATACATAATTAATATTAATATATTATTAGTATTCATTTTTATACATTTCTATATCAAATTGTTAATAATATTTATATTCATGCCCCATGCTAGAGCTTATAAACAGACAAACCCATGAAACACTCACACCCCACATCTCTTGTGGAAGGCCCAGGGATGCAACTCAGTGGAAATGACCGCTTATAGTTTACAAACACACTTACAAGATCATAAATAAACAGGCCGAATACTGACATCCATGCACCACTGCCATTTCATCTGGAAACAACACTGCTTTCCAGAAATGCAGTAATCAGCTTTGAAGTAACAACAATTCGCAGAGCTGCTCTCAATGTTGCATATGCTTTCTACATTTCGACCCATGAATTTTAAGACAGCTAGACATCGCAAACGCCTTACGGTCAAAGATTTCGTGCTGGTGTACAGTATAATTGGCTATTGTAGTTCTGTACACGGCTGGAAGGTCCGGTGAATGTGAAATGGTCTTATAGAGAACATGTCTGCTCTTGGAGCTGCCTGTGCCTGCCGCAGAACGAGCGTCATGTAACAGAACGAGAGTCTCGCCGCTGCGACGCGCTCCTACAGCAGCGGGTGCGCACATTCAGGCCTACGGGCGCGCTCAGCCTCACACTAATGATTCACACAGACACACATGTTGGTGCTTTAGCTTAAACAACCAAGCGCGTTTGCCTCAGCCCTGTATGACAGACTTTCGATTCCCGCTGCTTTGACTTCTCCATTCGCCTGGCCTCGAACAGGGGGCCGGAGCCTGCCGTAGACATGAGACGGGAGAGGCGAGGCGAGGCGCGTAAAAACAACCGTGGCGAAACAGACGTCCCAAATGGCACTAATTAAATAGCAAACATCCTAATGTTTAAGTAACATTAATTGTAAAAGCGAAGGATCAACAGCGAAGCGCAAAGTGACCGGTTAAGTGAAGCGAAATTCAGAAGGAGGGCTGCGACCACACGCACGACCCCCGTTTATAGGCTACCATTCCATCGCAAATAGAACGAACAGGATATAACAGCACCAAATACGCGGCAAAATCGTTACAATGTATCAAGCGATAACGTGTTTGTTACTGTAGCAAATCCCGAGCGTTCGCTCGGACTAAATAATAATCGAAACAGTTAGTCAGAAGCCAATCTACCGAGGGGTCTATCCGCCTTCTGCTATCGCTGTTAAAGCGGAGCACGTCCACAACTTCATATTTCCAACCTTTCAAACTCATTACCAACAAAAGTGTCAAACGGCAAGAATTAAATGTTCTCAAATCATAAATCCAGCTGCTCGTATGTCAGGGTTAAATATTTTGGCAAAGCACATCACTCACCTCAGATGTCAGCACCCACTCCCGTTCTCCTCCTTTTTTTCTGGTTTACCTCTCTCGTCTATTCTCCTCTAGCGATGTCCGATTCGCGAACGAGTCGTTCATTTGAGTCGGATCTTTTTAATGAATTGGTCGGACCGATTCGCAAGACCTTTCTGAATGAAGATATCTGCTTACCAATAAAGTAAAAGAAATAACATTTAAGTTGATTCACAAATGTTACCCAACTAAAGTCTTTCTTAGGAAATATAAGTCAGACATTGAAGTGAGTTGCTGTTTTTGTCATTCTTCTGAAGAAGACTTCATTCATTTGTTTTGGCAATGCTACACAGAACAATTTTGGTCAGACTTTTTAGTGTTTATTCAATCTTTTGTAAGTGACTTCTCTTTTTGTTTTAATGATGCTTTCTTTGGATTGTTTGACGATTCAAAAGAGAACACTGGAAAATATTACATAATTAATTTATGTTTCCTGTTAGCTAAATTTCACATACATAAACAAAAGTTTACTGGCTCTAAACCTCTCTTCTCCTTATTTAAAGTGGACTTGGATAAGTATGTGGAAACTATCCAAAGTTCTGTTAATTTGAAAGCTATGAAAACAGTATCTTTATATTCGTCCTTTTTGTCTTCTTAAGATGTAATTTTATTACCTTGTTTTTTTGTGGTTGTTACCCTGGCAACAAATCTGTGTGTATAATCTGTTGTTTTTCTGTTTTTGTTTTTATCTTGTCTTTATTTATGATTTTGATAATTGTACTGCCTTAATGTTTTAATGTTTGTATTGTTTAATACAAAAATAAAATTAAATAAAAAATAAAACTTTCTGAATGATTCGTTCACGAAAAATCGGTCCGTGCGGTTGTTGAGTCAACAAATCACTACTGATTCATTGAACCGAGAACCTTCTCAGTTGGAAATGCACGATTCGTAAAAAGCCGAAAACCAGGGAGTGAATATTTCAATTGAAACATCCAAAAACCTTTCCAGAGGAGTGATGAAAATTAATATTTCTGTTGTTTAATGTTAATGGTAATTTTATGTAGTTTATGCTCTAAATTTATGTTTTTATGAGGTGGTAAATGACTGCAACAAATTTAACTGTGGTACATGAATTACAATAAACATCCTTGTTAATAAAAAAGACAATATATGCAAGGAAAAGGTAATAAAATAATGATAAACGTCATATGAAAATGGTCTGTTTTCAAAGAGTCACCTCAAAAACACAAATTTATGGCTAATACAGAAGTTTCAAAGAAGGAGTAGTTTGGATAACATGCTGTCATTAAACTTTGCAGTTTTATAGTTTACTGGAAGCAATATATTCCCACATATGGCTTTATAGCACACATGCCATGCCGAGGCGAGATGTCAGGTACAAGGCGATGACGTAAAAGAACCGCCGATTCATTTTCAAACGGCTCATTGACAAACAAACTGTTCGAAAGAACCGATTCGCAGAAATGAATCGGACTTCCCATCACTACTCTCCTCCCTTCCAGATGTCGAGCGCAGGCTTCCAATCCGCGTCTCCCCGGAAGGCAGCGGACCAATCAGCCAGCGGACCACAGGAAACACATTCCCGGAGAGAAGAGAGAGCGTGACGGAAAGTTTGGAGAGAGAGAGAGATCCTTACACAATTTAAGGGAGGAACAAACTGGAGCAAATATCCGCTGAAAACAGAAACTGACCTAAGTAATAATTCAAATCTGATAATAAATAGTGTGTCAACACGCACTCAGAAAGATCATTCTTTTTGAATAGTGCATTTAACTGGAAAACTTAAATCTTTGTGTACTTAAATCAATATAATTAAACTGCAATTAAATAAAGATCCTATAAAGATAAAATAATCTTTGTTTAAATTAATTTATAAAGCTAGGTTGTAGTAGGTCTAATTAATGAATGGATTTCAGCAAAGATCCCATAACCTTACTTTAATGAGCTTGCATAAGGAGCTAGCAGCTGTCCAGTGTCTAGACTGTTACATTACATCATCTTTCTCAGGAGAAGAAGGCACAGGAGGAGAACGAGAAGCTTGTAGCTATTCATGTTAAACAAGATAGCTATTAACCATCTGTGCTCTTAAATGTCTTTGACTCTGTGTGTGTGTGTGGGGGGGGGGGTATCTTTTAAATCAGCTTTGTATCTTTTAAATCAGCTAAAATGTTATGACTACACACCTTTTCTTTGTGTTTTTGTGTGCTGTAGTATAAAGGCATTTCGTATTGATTTAACACATCCAACGTAAGAGAATTTGTTGAAGTGGTTGCATGGAGAAGCTGCAGACACAACAGAAGGCATACGTGTCCTGAAAGCACACGCTCAGACATGCTGTCCCAAGTGACCCAGAGGTCAAACTCCACTCCTCAAAGTAGCCCCCGTGCCAAGAACAGAGACACAGGCGAGTTGTTTCACGTGTGCTACAGAGAGCAGAGCCTTGAATCAAACATTTCAGAGTCATTTGTGAACTTCCAGTCACAAAGTACCATGAAATTATGATAATAACAAAGAGAGTATCAGCATTTATTAGTTTAAATATACATTACCATTTAAAAGTCTGAAGTAGGCAACTATGTTTAGGCGTCTTATGCTTACCAAGGCTGTAATTATTGGATTAAAAATATGGTAAAAACAGTAATATTATGAAATATTATTACAATTTAAAATAACTCTTTTCTATTTTAATATATTTTAAAATGTAATTTATTCTTGTGATGCAAAGCTGAATTTCCAGCATTACTCCAGTCTTCAGTGTCACGTGATCCTTCAGAAATCATTCTAATATGCCGATTTGGTGCTTTATGAAACTTTTCGTATTATTTTGTAGAAACTGTGATAGATTTTCCCCCCCCAGGATTCTCGGATGAATTGAAAATATATTTTATTTGACATAAATTAAGCATATTTAAAATATAAATCTTACTAACCCCATACTTTTGAACAGTTGACAGGCGGAGTGTGAACCAACTCCAGGGTAAGGCTAAAAGCAGCCAAGTCTGTTAACTACAAACATCATAAACCCGTCTTTTTAGGCAAGAACCAGACATGGGTGTCATGTAGGCTAATAAAATATGTTTAATGGGACTGAATATGTATTTATCATGATTACAGTTTAATAAAAACATTAGAAATTGATAATTATAAAACGTTTCCTTTCCAAGGTTATTCAAACAGTGTATACATTATTATACAGAAAGTGACATATTAACTTTGATCTATCGCGAGTTTAAGCACTCTCAAACAACAAAACTATCGTTTTAATCACTGAAGCTGGCTACACTGTGAAATGAATCTCTTACGTTGTACTTGCATCTGCGCTTTGTTGTTTATGATGAGGTAATAAGCGGAATTCAGTCAGCGAACGCGCACGCACTCAAAACTGATGAGTTTCAGCGATGACTCATCTGAACGCCTCTGATTGGCCATTGCATTCCTAAGCTCAAAAGAGTCGCATGTGATTGGTTATAATGCGCAACACTGCAAAAACGCCTAAAATGCAATAATTTTTTAATTTAATGCCGCAATCGACACTTTCTAATAATTTTCATCTTGTTAGCAACAGACAGTAATAGATTTAATTTGTTATGCCGCAATCGACACTTTCTAATAATTTTCATCTTGTTAGCAACAGACAGTAATAGATTTAATTTGTTTGCGCAGGGGCATTTTTGCCCCAACTAGCTGTGGTCACTACACACACTCCGCCTATGACAGTTGAATATATATTTCAGTAGTATATTATACTTTTTTAAAAATTATACTCAATTATACACTTATTATATTATACATTACCACAAACTGCCTTCTTGTTATAAGACGAAAGGAGAGAAAAAAGGTAAATGCATTTTGACTTGATTTAAATGTTTAATTT